CGTGGAGAATCTTCTACAATTGCCGCCACCAGGTGTCCGCTAAGTCCAACTCTCGAATCTGGTCGAGAACTTTGAAGATCTGCATGTTTCTTTTCCTTTTTTTGTAGAGAAGTTTGTAACGAAGTTTACTCTTATTGAATGAAAATTAATTTTTGTCTTCATTCTTAAGCTTGCCTTCATCGCTTATATTCTTTTAGCTTTGTAGCTTCATTCTTATTTGAGACGTTAGCTGAAGTGAGTTAGTTGTAATGTGTCGACCCATGCTGGGGACTTATGACAACTAGTACACTTGATGCCTCATTTTGGCTTAGGTTATGAATACTTTTTTGACAGAATGGCAATCCTGAGATTGGATGTCAAGGTCTTACAGAGGTGTCAAGGTCTTCATAATCCCCGTATGGTCGAGTAATGATTGTGGGAGTCGACCATAAGGTTGTGCCTTGGGCTTATCTTGATAAAAAGCTAAGGGCTTGTTATCCAACCGAGTCGTTGTGCCTTGGATTTACCCTGAAGAGATACCAAGGTCTTGTAATTCGACTGAGGAGTCGAATGCCTAGAACTCTTAAGAGTTAACTAGGGTTTTCTTTCCCCTAAGGTCGAGAGAAAACTATGGGAGTCGACCAAAGGGTTGTGCCTTGGGTTTATTCCTGATGAGGTATTAAGGGTTTGTCCATAATGATCGATGAGAGCCGGAGGAATCGACCACATGTTGTGCCTTGGGCTTACCTTGATAAAAAGCCAAAGGCTTGTTATCCGACTGAGGAGTCATTGTGCCTTAGGTTTACCCTGAAGAGGTACCAAGATTTTATAATTCGACTGAGGAATCGTTGTGCCTTGGATTTACCCTAAAGAGGTACCAAGATCTTGTAATTCGACTGAAGAGTCGAATGCCTAAAACTCTTGAGAGTTAACTAGGGTTTTCTTTCCCCTAAGACCGAGCGAAAATTGTGGGAGTCGACTAAAGGGTTGTGCCTTGAGTTTATTTCTGATGAGATACTAAGGGCTTGTTGGGGTGTCTAGGTCTTACATGACGCCTAGGTCTTTGACCATAGTGAAGCCTTGATCCCTGCGAGATCAGAGTTAATTTATATTGAACAATATTTTATCAGTTCTGTATTTTACATTATCATAAAAAATATCCTTTGCAGGCATCTGATGCTTAAAGAGGGATTGTACCACTTGTGATCTTGCTTTGGCTTTGCTTTAAAGGCAATTTTGTAGCGGATGAAGCTGCCAATATAGAACCTATTTTAGTTGGATTTTGCTTGCTTTCATAGCGGACGTCTTGTTGATGAACGAAGATGAGTCAAAACTCTATTTGCCATCTCATCAGCCAGGGTTCTTTTTGAGTTTGAATCTTCAGTAAGGCATTGAAGGCGGATGGTTGACATGCTGACTTTTGGCAAAAGGAACAGCCCAGACGCTATGAATCATGTTGAATGGCGTTTTCTAGGTCAGGTTCGTGAGAGTTTGGGGCATAACTGAAGCTACATGGTACCTTTTGTAGTAAAAATTCTCTTGTAAAGAATCCACCAGCCGGTATCGTACTCCCTGAAAATAACAAACCATGACGGTTTTCTTGAAAGAGCTTCGGGAGTACTGGGGACTGGACCATATTATGAATGAAGAACTCTCCCTTATGAGGATCATGCAGGTCGCATGCTTCGACCACCAGAGCTTAGGCAACTTTAATGGTGAAGGCGTCGGTTGAAGGACCAAGATCATTCTTCCTGTGAATAATCAGCTGACAGACCCTAAGTTTTTTCGCAATCTCACCCCTGATATAAGGGAGTTTCCTTAAAAGAGTCCTCATGGTCCCATGCGCCTATCACAGATTTAATCACTACTCATATGCTTATATGAGCTATCGACAGTTGGAGCTTCAGTGATATTTGGCCTCATCAAATCATATGTTCCAGCCAGATTCATTATGTGATGGGGATTAGAAGTCAGGGTCACTTTTCAAGAAAAACAACCACCCTTACGGTGGGTCTTTCTGCTGGAGGGTTTTCTAGAGGGATTGAAGATCGTTGTACCATCTAATTGATGGTGCGCTTGGCAAATACTCCCCGAATAAGTTGCTGAGGCTTTCGAGGATTGTACTTATGTTAGTACCTCTTAGCCAAAGCTAACCCTCCTTAGCTTGAATGATACAACTTCTGACTTCATTTAACGTGGATGATGTAACTCTGATGTTGTTCTTCAGGGTGAGTAGAATCAAACCCTTGATCAAAATTTAGCATGTCTTCTCGAAAAAGAAGAGTGGCCCTATGGTGGGTGCTAACTATCAATGTTAAATATCACACAGCTAAATAATCCAGAATAGGATGGTTGTGGGGGGATGAAGGGTGATTGAGGGCTCGCTCCCTTCTCCGACTTTATACCTGGTTCTGAAACGATGGCTTGATGTGCGCACTGCACAGACAAGAAGAACTCGTGAGAGGGTGGGGATCGGTTCCCCCGTGGTTCCTGCGACGGTCAAGTTAATAAAATTCGAATGGGGAAAGGGAAGGTTGGAACCAATGTGATTCTTGAGACGGCAATGTGCCTGCCTAGAGGATTTACGTCAGCCCCTCTATCTCTTTTTTCTCTTTCTTTTTTAAGAACTGTGCCCCCCCATCATTTTATATTGGGATAAGATAGGTTACCTTTATCTCAGTCTGGAGAAGCGATGTTAGAGTGCGGGCTAAGAGCCAAGTCAGCCCTCGTTTTACAGGTATCAGCTGGCGACTGGGGGTATCACTTCAACTTTGAAGAGGATGTCTCTGTCCTTTCTGGGAATGATTGAGCGCGTGACAGAAGGCATGCTGACATGCTGAATCATCCCTCACCTTGCAGGTGTCGGCTGACGACTGGAGGGGAAGTCACTTTATTATGGGAGATTGTGTCTTCGTATTTTCGTGATTGAGCTGACAAGTCATGGAGACCTATCTGGCCAAAATCTGGATAAGGCTTGTTCGAGGTGGACTGAGGTGTTGATATATGCTCTGGAGAAGAGGCTTGAGGCCGGGGTTGATTCCTCAACTTAGTCGACAACAGAGAGTGTCCCTTAAGTCGTTTCTGAGAAATATCGAGTGAGTGGCGAGTGCCCTAAGTAGGATCGTCTTCGATGATAGGATCGACCGACACCGCCTTTCGCGTCGACTTAGGAGTATCGGCCTATTCGACTGGTTGGAATGTCGTCTCTTCTCAGCTAATAACCGTTTCTCGAGTTGATATGAAGATGTCGACTCATCTGGGATGTCAGGATCTCTCGTGCCGACCAATATCGCCTCTATTATCGACACCAGAGTGTCGGCTTGATGAGTTGGTGGGGCTGAGGTCTCTGTGATTGTGCCTTGGGTTTATCACACCAGAGTGTCGGCTTGATGAGTTGGTGGGGCTGAGGTCTCTGTGATTGTGCCTTGGGTTTATCCCTTGATGAGGTACCAAGGTCTTGTAATTAGCCATGATGGTTGAGTTACACTGGACGATTCGATCATGTGTTGTGCCTTGTGTTTACCTTGATAAAGAGCCAAGAGCTTGTGATTCGACTGAGAAGTCGTTGTGCCTATCATGTGTTGTGCCTTGTGTTTACCTTGATAAAGAGCCAAGAGCTTGTGATTCGACTAAGAAGTCGTTGTGCCTAGAAATCTTGAGAGTTGACCAGGTCTTTCCTTCCCCTGAGACCAAGAGACGACTGTGGGAGTCGGCTAAATGGTTAAGTTTGTTTTGCTACGACTCTTGTCGTATCATTTTGTCAATATCCGTATCTTGGGTGAGTGAACACAAGCGACATAAGTAGTCTCTCTTATAATTGTCACGAAATTTCAACAAGTGACAAGTCCCTTCGCATGATATACCACCATCATTCAAACATGTCAATTTTAGTTTTAAGTTTAAGAAATTGACTTGGGAAAGCTTTTATTAATTAACATTTCCTCTAATAGCTTGAACCTTAGTGTAAATTGAGCAAAGACGGGTCTCTCATCTCTAATATTAGATCATCTTTTAATATTGCTATTATGTTTACAAAATAAGTTTGTTCATGCATAGGGTTATAATTTTTTCCACTCTATTAATCCATGTCAGATATCCGCTATTTAGTAAATTCGACCCTATTGTCTGTATGCTTTGTTTCAGCTTCAAATGCTAATGATTGATATAGACTTTGACAATGTAATTAAATTTGAAACATGATATGAATTGGTTCTTTTTTGTCTCATTACCCTATACGTTCAAGTCCTTCCAGCTACTGGCCATTTTTATTATGTAAGGGCATTAGATTTAGCACACAAATCTCTTATTACATCTTTTATTTAGATTTCATGAATATTGGTAAAATCTAAACCAGCTTAATTACATGAATATTGGTAAAATCTAAATCATCACTTCACTTCTTCATTTTTATGGTCCACATTTAAAATTTTCAATATTAAACAAATATGCCCACGTGCAACGCACGTGCACTTTACTAGTTTAATTAAAATTAGATTTGTTTCCACTGAATAAAACAACAAATTAAATAATTAATACAAGAAGGCTACATTTAATTCTATGCATACTCATACATTACTCCTGTAAGAAAGAGTCCATATCAGATACAAACTAGGGGCATACTCATACATTCTATGCATCTACCTTCAGGTGACTATAATAATAATTCAGATGGAAAAAAGAGACTAAAACAAGAAAGGAAGAAATATCCCTTTCTTCTCTCTAGAGACAGCTTGAGTAATGCAATAATTGCACAACAAACATCTAATAAGGGTGCAATTCAAGTTGAGACTGCCTGGTCTAGCCAATCCCCTATTAGGATTGGGCTAAAAAGAAAATCAAGAAGTACGAAGTCTGGATTTGCTTAGGTTGACCTTTAACCCAACCTGACCAGCCTGACACAACAAACTTTTGGTCTAGAATACACTTCAAAAACTACCATGAAGTTTGGGGCTTTATAGAAAACGACCGTTCACGTTCCTTCACGGGTATACTTTTTTTGTTATGCAAAAGTTTCTCTCAGTTGCTTAACCCAAATAAACTAACCGAACCCAGCTCGTTTCTAACGACCTAATAGATTGAGCTTGGGTTGAAAAATATTCCAATCTTAGGTTGGAATTTAGCCTGACCCTACCAGCATGATTTGCATCCCCAGGCGGACACTCATTCAATGAACAAAAAGAACATTTGTTGTAAATTTGTCAAGATTCTATAGAAATTTGACAACTATATAACAGGTAAAACCATAAAATTCTTGTACACTGAAACTTCAAACCACGCGAATTGCAGGATATATAAGGAATAAATCATGGTGAAATTATTTGTTTCGCTACAAAGAAGATATTTTAAGCATACAATCTACTAAAAAGTCACCTCATCTCATCTACCATACCAGCAAAGATGCATCATTCTGAAGAGATTTAGGCACATCCAAGTGATCAGGCTTGATAAAATGCTGCAGCAAGCAAATTTTCTCGGATAGCTCCAAGTCTGCTTTAACATCCTTGGACATGAAGCAAACGTGCGGCTGAACAATTTTTTCATGACATACTTCTCAAGGCCCTGTATTGCAATAAAATTTTAAAAGATACTTCAAATTTTAGGTGTACTTCTATCTGCAAAAAGCAGCAGAGGTGCGCACAGCTAAAAGGGAACCCTCAGTGGATATCAAACACATGTGCGCACACAAATAAAAAGTACAGGAAAAAGGATTGCAGCTCATTATGAGAACTATTATAAGCTTAAATACAAAACAAAAGTGAAAATTAATATGTGTTTTATCACAAGAACAAGGAATCTAAGGAAAATGTGGTAGTAAACAAGTTTCTATGAAATATATCAGTATCAACACCACCACAGTTTCACAAGAACAGGGAACCAAAGCACTGAAATTAATATGTGTTTTATCAAGATGCAGTTCTTTTTTTCCAAATTAAAACTTTGGAACAGTATAATGTAGCAATTTATAGGTCTTGTTTAACCTACAATGAGCACACAACATGTTATTCGACTAGAATGTTTTTGAGCTGCATTTTCACACAAGAAAACCAAAATCTATCATGTTACAAGGAATTTGCATCTGTATCATATGAGAATACCAGGCAAAAAAAAGTAGCAGGTATAAACCTAAAAACCATTTGCTACTAAATGTAGTATAAGTTGCATGAATTTCAAGCTGAGGGCGAAAGAAATTCTGCAAAGACCAACCTTGAATCGCTTTCAGTCAATCCATACCATACCATTGAGTTTCAGTGTCAAAAATAGATGAACACTACTCACATGATCAGATTTTCGGGACTTTGGTTATCCACATGAATTCTACAGGAAATCAATTAGGCATGCACAAAAAAATTGAGACGTGCCTCACAGACAGATTGTCTAAACTTCAACTACATAAGGGGAAAAGGAGGAAAACAAAAAATGCATATCTTAACAGACAAAGTTTTTCCACCTGGGCTGCATAGATATTAAGTTTAAACATCTTTACTTGGTGGTGGCGTATTGGTACATGCATGAACTCTATGTGGGTCTCCATGAAAAATAGAACAGGAATATGTCCATGCAAAATACTGTCCTATATTTGGGTGCATATCTGAGAAAGTTCATTCATATCAAAGAGGGAGTATTTACAACATATATGAAGTTATGAACTCTACGTGACTCACCCTTCTTTTTGAAGGGTTGGTTGGGTCAGTCCCTTCTTCTCTGTCTATTTGTCTTATTTTGCTTCATTTCTTTCTCTCTATCTTCCTTCATTTCTTCCTTTCCTTCCTTTTTTCTCTCTCTCTTTCTATATTTGCTTTTTTCCTTCTATCTGATGTATGCACTTGTGCGCATTTAACACATGCTCATACGTTTTGAGTGTGGATGGATGGGCATGAAGCATTGTTTTAAATATCCACGATATATCTGATATGTTGGCTGATATATCTTTTTATAAGGCTTACTGTAAAATGATATGGTCTCAATATTCTTTACAACTTTTGGCAATTTTGGGTAATATATCCCCAACATGGAAGATATATCAACTAATACGTTGGCTGATATATCAACCAATATGTTGGTTGATACATCCTTTTATATAGTTTATTGCAAAATGATATAGCTCTACAAAATTTCTTTAATTTTTTTTAGCAAAAATTCTAGTCCTATGAAATTTTTTAACAAAATTCTCTTAGGCTCGTTTCACTAAGTAAGTTTCTACAATTGGTTGTGTAGTAGCCCAGATAAAAATATGTATATAATATAAAAAATGATAAATCTATACTACTTCTAAAAGAGAAAACAAGTGTCAACTTTTGCATACCCATTTTACCCCTTTCAATTTTATTAATTCTATTTTTATCCCCATAATTCATGACTTATCTAGAAAAAGTATATGATAATGATCAATTAAATTAATACATGCCTCTTCCAGTCTCATACTTCATCCCCATAATTCATGACTTATCTAGAAAAAGTATATGATAATAATCAATTTATCAATTAATACACGCCCTTTCCTCTACTCCTCCAACCCCCGCGCCCCTCTCCCCCTTTCTATTCACCTCTGACCTCTGATTCTTTCGTTTCTCAACCTTTGAGAAACGGATGAATCCCTTGCCTCCTCATCCCCCCTCCCTCTTTCATCGCTACTTATCTCTCTGCTCCACCACCCGCCCACTCCGTTCTCTATCATCCTACGGTTCTTTCGTTCTTCATTTCTTCATCTCGATTCTTCGCGTTTCTCACCCCGCCCTGCCGCCTCTTCCACTCTGTTCTTCGGATTCTTCCGTTTCTCCACCTCTCCCCTCCCCCGCCCCCACATGCCTTTATAAATAGCGTAATGCTTCAGTTTTGATGGAGCAAAGACGACGTTTTTGGAGTTCACGCGACGCTTTTGGAGTTCACGCTTAATTGAGGTTAGTTGTTGTTATACTTCACTTATGATTTACTTAGGTTCTGACCTATTTTGGTTCTGATCTACTGCTGATCTGAATGTGGATTTTTTTTTTCTTGTGTGTTTAAGTTCTATTATGCTTGCTTAATTTCTTCTATGTTATTTTTATTTTTTCTTTTCTTTTTTTGATTTAACCTCCAAAATAGAGAGAACTTGATTTTTTTTGTTATGCTTCCAAAATAGAGATTGTCGTGGGGATTGGAGATTTGAAGGAACTGGATAGTTTGGGTGATGATTTGTTGAATTGCTTGGTGAAGGAGATAACTCGGTCTTTGGAGATGAAGAAGTGGAGGTTTTAGGTGATGGGTTGGTCTACAACTTATGAGACTTACATGAAGTTTCTGTCGAGGTACCCGACGCTTGACAAGGATTAGGATTTGCAGCTGCAGCTGATTACTTCAGCGGCCAGGCAACCTGCAGTCAGTAGACCGTCAAGATTTATGTTCTTCCTTCGCTCTATGCTTTGAATCTCTATGATGCGAGCTAATTATTTATAGTGATTTCAATGACATTTTCATTTACTTTGGAATGTTTGTATTATAAGCATATCTACCTGTATTACTTATAGTTTAGAACTCAAAAAACCCTTAGTAAAAGACAATGAATACTATGAGTCTACTTGATACTTTGTTGAAAACTAGCACTTTACTTCTGTAGGCTTATGTTAAGTTATTGGAGTTGATGTGTGTGTTAAACATACAAGTGTGAGGTTATTGACGTGGTTCTCCATATGATTACTGACAACATACAAAACCATGATTTTGATGATATTTTTGATTGGTGGGAAAGTATTGAGTTTCTAACACTTCGATTAGGTGTGCTCTTTATGTCCATTTTGTTTTGCACTTAACTATTTTATTAAAGGTGCAATTATGTAGTTTATTAAACTACGTGCAAGTTTTCCTTAAAAATGTTGTCTCATATTGCTATTATCTTTGTTCTTTTTGATGTATAATAACTAATGCTTTAATGTACAGGCTTTAGGTCCAAAAGGACTGTGAAATTAATTCCTTTGTAAAGCAGCAACTAAAATAAGCTTTAGTTTATTAACTAGCTCCTAAATTTAGAAACTTAAGCACATAATAACTAATGCTTTAATGTATTGGCTCACAAGCTGTTAAAACATTATGTGTAAGTTTATCTGTTAAAAAAATATTTTTCCTGGGTCGTTCGTTTAATTTATTTTAAACTACGTACATATTGTCCAAAACCGCATTAGTTATGGCATGTAGTATTTCATTTTCCCTGTCGAACAATATTGTTTTCCTTTTCTTCATCTGTTGTTCACTTTTTCCTTTAAGTTTCTATTTAGGTATTTATCATAATTTCTTCACTTTTTAATTAATTCATCTCAACTCAAGCCTTCAGTAACTATGTTTTGAAGAACTTCAAAGCCAACATTTCTACAAACTTCGTGCAGGTTAACCTTATATGCAATGCTTGAACCTGTTAGTTAATTAGTCAAACAAATCTCTTGTTATCAAAGACACAATAAGTTCTTGTCTGGTTCCTTGTCTGCTATGAAATGCACCTAAGTACTTCCATGTCCATCTTATAAGAGAATATGCTTTGGTGACTTAACTTATTTCTGTTGAATTTGATTCTAAATCATCATGTGCTCCCATTTTTTCAATTATACTGAGCCATTTTATCTACTGTTGTGAAGTAGCTTCCTTTCTATACTTCATCTAGGTATATTTTTCAATTTTAACATCTGGTATTTAGCTGTTATATACTCTTGCAAACCAACAGCTACATTCTGTACAAACATTTCATCCAATTTGGGTAGCTTCCAAAGATTATGTTGTTCTTTTTAATTATATTTGTAATCACACTGGTCCCATTTTAAAAGAAGCAAAGGGTATAGAGCAGAGTTACTCTTTTCTCATGTTCTTTGGTTGGAATTCTTCACTACCAACTTGATGCTGTTGAAGTTATTGATATATTTAAATTGTAGTTGTTGAGGAAAACAATTGCTAGCATTTCATGTTCTTGGTATATATTATCGTGATCAGCTCATATATTTGTAGTGACCATAATATCAGGCTAGTGACAGCTTATGTTACTTGTTAGCCAATTTGTTCCTATTCAAGGCAAAATTCGATTTCTCAACTAGCTTTGCTGAGCAGTTTTTTATACCATCCTCCATCTTATTTAGATTTCCTCTTATGATTTTTGAAACAACATGATTAACTTAGTAGAGGATGGTATTTGAAGTTAATGTATGATCTTAATTGGATTTATAATTTGTTAATACTGGGTTGGAATATGCTGTAGCCTGATGGAGTCATTTGTATCATTTGGGGGTTTCTTCCCTTCTGCGTATGAATCTAATATTCCAGTAATGAAACTGTATTTCTCGGTTCCTCGCTGCCAGCTTAGTAATGACAAATATGAGGAAGAACTTGCTATAATTCTGAAGGGAAGTGCACCTTCTTGTGTAGATCAGAACCAGGCAAAATTGCCTTTGTCGCTGCAAAATGTCGATAAGATCAGAATGAATAATCAATTGGATGTCTCGAAGGTTTGCTTCTCTTTTGTCTACAGATTCATTTTTCTTTTCCTTTTCACTTTTGCATATGCTCCATTTATATCTGTATTGGTTACGTAGATTCAGTCTATG